GGGAACCAGCAGTTAGCGTAATGGCTATGTCACTGGACTCCCACGTAGTCGACCGCGGTTCGCATCCCAGGTCCGGTGGCTTAAAACTCACGCCAGGTGCATGTGCGTGTGTGCCCAAGATCCCGAGAGGAGAATGGAGAAGGGATTGTGGCGTGACCATCTCCTCTGGGGGGTGATTTCTCACTTTCTGTCTCTCTGTCTCTCTCTGTCTGTCTGGCAAGCGCATGCACCCTATAGTGAAAACCTCTCAAAAAAAAAAGTGAGTATATATGTAAAAATATACAAGGCTGTCAAGAAACTAGTGACTTTAATATCTGTGGCTTTATTTCTTCCTTCATTTTGTAAATTTACAACGATGAAATGAATAAATACTAACATCAGGCAAAACGAAGTAAAATTAAACAGTGCCCACTTCATACAAAAGCTAATGGCAGAATTTTATATAATGCCAGAGGTAATGAATGCCAGTCAATCTACTGGGGACCAATGGTCTATTTGAAATACTTGATTAAGGTAAAGAAGTAAACAGTATCTCTTAAAGCCTAAATGTGGAAATACAAGTATATACTTCACAGTCTCCGATACTGAGGTGTGAGGTAGTAGGGAGTCTAAATCTGTTATTTCAAAATGAATGAAGTCTAGCCTCATTTCAGCATTTCCACAGTAAAATAAGCACTACATGAAGCAAGTTATTTTCCTTTCATGTAAGCACACAAACACATAAAACTGCAAATAAGAGCTGAAAAGTTATCCTCCATTCCATAAATGAAAAATTATTCAAAACAATAATATGATGTGCTATCCTAATCTAAGCATGCGAGATTTAGGTAAGTCTAGAACAAGTCTAATACTTGACAAAGAGACCTCATTGCTATATTTAGAGGCTAAATGAATACAATAACCCTGAAGATACTCCCTAATTACTCTTTAACTGACATAATTTTTGTATACACAATGAAGAAAAAGCAAGCAATCTTTGTAAGGACTGAAATATAAAATACATGCTGCTGTAAGTGTACTTATTCATTATTTCCCTTTTGAGTGAAAAATGTTAGGCTTCTCTCATCAGACAAAGAAACACATTCTGAAACACATCATGCAAGCGTTTGTGATCAACCTTGAAGCATTTTTGTATTTGTTTTACATAAAACAGTGTGACCTTTGATTCCCTCCCTGTGGTTTCCTTTAAACTGTTGTTCTTTTTCTGAATAGTTGTGCTTTCTATTACATGCTGTCATTTAGATTCATTCTGTCATCCCTATTATTAGAATTGTTTTGTTGTATACTTCACAATTCAAAAGGATAGTGGTTATAAGAATACCTTATAATCAGCATACAGCCATCATCAAAATTAACCCTCACACACACAAAAAAGAACTCACTTGAGAAACATGAAGGGCAGCCTCTCTATATGAATAAATCTTCAAATGGGTCAGGGAATTGACTCGTTTTCAAAAAGAATGATATTCTTTTTATGTTGAGAAGACTAAGAAATGTACAAAAATGCATGGCGATACCAGTATAGGGTAGACAGAATGGTGTAAATCACAAAGAATCCAGAAGGCACTATTTAAAACATGTAAAGCTTCTTTCAAATGTGGTATTAATTAGACAATATCACTGAATTTAACTAATAGACTTAAATATTTTAAATGGGTAAACACAAACCCAAGAACCATTACACTAGAAAATAAAGTACTATTTATGGACTTTGAGGAATTGAATGCTAAATCATTTAGTCATTCCGGTTTACATCTTAAGTTTATTTTACATTTGTGAATGAAAATGGAAGGAACAATTTCAATACAATTCGGGAAATCAACCTGGTAATAACTCCACATAATCACAATTCCCAGAGACTACTGAAGTACTCACTTTAGCAGCACTAATGACTGTGGCAGTGTAAGACTGAATGTTGTCTCCACAAGCTCCACCACGGGACTGATGACATCGAATCAACTGTGGGAGGTGGGAGGGAGAGAGAGAGAACCAGAAAGTCATTTCTACTAAACTGTTTAACTCTATAGGCTATTAGGATAGAGCTTATTTACCATGCATAATGATGGTGGTGGGTGGGAATGTTTGCATGAGTGTATTTCAGACAAACAGCTAAAAGCCCTGCTGAGACACTTTCAGCCCTTTTTATAATCTACTGGTGCCACTCAGGCAGTTTCATGCTCAACTACGGTTTTAATTACAAGATGAATAGTCTTTAAGAATTCATAAACTCAGAAATGGTAGGATTTAGGGTCTGGCAGCCTTTCTACAAATAAATTTTAAAAACACAAAGGACTTAGACATGACTTCCTAACACGAAATGTTTGACATGCTAGCAAATTGGATGTTTTGTACTCTTAATTCCTCCACAAAGACTGTAAAAGGAAACATAAAAAGGAGACAAAAGATTTTGCCATATTTGCCTTTTCGATTTTGCCACTGGAGAAGTGGCACAAATTACACATGAATCAACAATGACATATCTACTAGCTATCCACTTCAGAGGGCTTTCTACTGCTATCATTAGTAATGAAAAAGATATACCCTTAGTTTGTGTCTGGTGTAAATAAACCAACACACAAATTTCCAAAGTGATCATTACTTTGATTCTCTCACATGCTAAGCAATAAACCAGGATTGAGTTCTTTACTAGTCCTATAGATCTTATATTTAGCAAAAACGTCTCGTCAGAGTTGTATGTTTAAATCTTTTTTTAAGTAAAATGACAGTAGTAGAGTATTAGAAAAGGACCACATTGCAATATAAAGTTTTGTTTTGTTTCTTAATTGCCATAGAGTATGTATACTTGCTAGGGGGAGGGAGAAACAGAGAAAGAGAGAGAGAGAGAGAAAGGAAGCAGTCCCCAGTGGAGCATGGTCATGCTGCATTCCCTGCTCTTCCATTTCTATCCTGTTGGGATTTAGGGCAAGCACATGCACATGCTGAATATGTTTTTTCAAGCCACCAGGATAGGATCTGGAACACTGTCTTTATATGGGATTCAGCTCCCTTAACCAATAGATCAAGGGACCAGACCTGTAATATGAAGGGTTTTTTTTAGTAATTATTTATTATTATTATTATTGTTAATATTATTTTTCACATGAGTTTTGCCAGAGAAAGACAGAGAGAGAGGGAGAGGGAGAAAGCAAGCTGCCAGGTCCAGGACTCAAACCATGACCAGCCATGTGGGAATTCCAACACCTTAACCATTATGCCACCTGCTGGCCCGAGGATTGTGGGTTATTGTTAAGCTGTAATATGAGTTTTTACATGCATCTGGAACTTAACAAAGAATCTACAATCTATCTCCTGAATGTAAAAAACAAACAATCGAAAAAACATAATTGGGCCAGCAGGTGGCATAGTGGTTAAAGGGCTATACTCCCACACGGTAGACCACAGTGTAAGTCCTGAACTCAGTGACTTGAAACTCACGCCAGGCATGTGCATGTTTGTCCAAATCCCAAGAGGAGGATAGAGGAAAAGAGACTGAGGAGTGGCCATATCCCCTGGGGGGTGATTTCTCGTATTCAGTCTCTCTGTCTCTCCAGGGAGTACACGAACCCACCCTATAGAAAAAATCTCTCTCAAAAAAAAATAATAAAAAACTACGTGTGTGTGTGTGTGTGTGTGTGTGTGTGTGTATACACATACAAATACATATATAATTATATATACATACATAATTATATATATAATTTATATTTATATATAAATTATGTTTCATATATAAATATAAAATTTATACATATATGTGTATATAAAATTTAAAACCAGGTCATCTGATGAAGATGATTAGGTCATCTGTCTTAATTCAAAATATTCTTCTTCACTGACTTTTAAAAAAATCCCTCCAAGCAATACTAGTGTGTCATAAAAGAATAGAACACCTTTAAAAGTCTGTTTTGTGATATCAAGCTATTTTTTAGGCAATCTCTATCATGATATATTTAATTGCTTAAGTAGATTTCAAAGTAAGTGGTGACATATCTTCAAAATGATTTATCAATAGCAAATGTAGTTTATGTAAAGTAAAATAAGTTATTTGAAAAATAATCTTTTTAGTTAATAAAAAGAATCTGACACACTCATTTATCCATAAATATACATTCAAAGAATTATGAAAATTATTTCTCTGCTGCCTCCTGCTGCATGAACAAGGAAAGACAGTATTTTGAAATGGTTATCATCTATGCCCTCTATCAAACGCACTAATTTCCAGGAAATACCGTCAAACAGAAGAAATCAATGTGTAAACTATACCTAGTTACCATTTTAAAATATTTATGCTTTTTATCAGTGTATTTTAATATGTTATATATATTTATTTATGTTTCCCTTTCTCACACAAAAGATAATATAGTATATATGCTCTTCTACACATTGTACAAGCACTTTTCTGTTTTAAGGGATTAAACAAATGAGCAGATCTGCTGGTGTCAGGGTCTACCGTCCAAAAGAAGGGACATTTTATAAATATTAAAAGGTGAAGGCATGAAAGAATCCTGAGGAAGTACTAATGTGAATTCATGACTTCTAAAGTAAATGTATATAAGAATATATAGGTATACAAATATATTTGCCTTTTTGTGTATATATGTACACATATGTGTTTCCTAGCTTTGTCCTTTGAAAGTATCTATTTGGTCACCAGAGTCATAATGTATTTCTCCATGTTTTTCTATGCAAAAATGCATCATGACTTTTCTGATTCAGGATTCAAACTGCAGTCGACTACGTGGAAGTCCAGGACCTTAACTACTACACCATCTGCTAGCCCCTAAAATTATATTTTTAAACAAAATAGAGGCAGGGCCAGCAGGTGGCTTGGTAAATAAGGTGCTAGACTCGCACATGGTCAACTGCAGTTCGACTTCTGGACCTGGCAGCTTGAAACTCACGTTGGGTATGTGTGTATGTGTGCCCAGAATCTCAGAAGGAGAATGAAGAGATTGCAGCATGGCCATCCTCCTGGGGGGTGATATCACACTTTCTGCCTCTGCTGAGCACATATGACCCATGGCAAAAATCTCTCAAAACAAAAAGAAGACACTGGAAAAAATAATCCCATCATAAAATAGATTCTTCCATAAGATTTTACAGTCAAACAGCATTTCCATTAAAAGAGATTGTCACTCCAAAATTTAATTCTATTTTGTAATTCCACACTTGGTCCAACATCTTAAACTGTCAGAAACTGTTAATAAGTATCAGTTCTTATAGAAATAAGAATATCTAGAAATATTTCTAAATGATGGCACAACCATTTGATTAGCAAGCTCTTTAAGAATGCCACCAAATTATCTGGTCTCTGTATAACACATCAGATTACTACAAAGGCAAAAAAAACTAGCACATATCCAGGCCATGTACCTATGAATATATAACTATACATAACATCTCCAATTTCAAATAGACAGTTTCCTACATGTGAGAATACATGTATAAGAGTCTAGGGACAATTTATTCTTCAACTTCTTGGATGCGTCTAGCATTCAAGGGGAATGCAGTATAGATGTAAACAATAGATACATATTTAATTATAATTTTAAAATATTTTGACTATATCTAAATAAATAAAATATATTTAAATGTAATTTTAAAAGAGTAACCAGGAAAGAACTATTTTTATGAACTATATAGAAAAATTTAGAAAAAATAGGATGGAACATAAATAAAGCATTCAACAAGACACAAAATATCTAATTTTTCCAGGTGGATTTTTAGACAAGAAACTGAGAAATTCAACCGCAAACATAATTTACTGAATAGTTTCTTAATCTTGTATATTACAAAGGCTAGAGATTTACTATTTCTGTGACTTCACCAAATAATTACTTTACTTACCACATTTTGATTTTGTCATGAACTACTCCATATTATTTCATTATTTTTTTCAAAATATAAAAATCATAAATCAGCAAAAATGAGAACAAAAATAAATCATCTTTGAAGATGATTAAGATCTAGAAAATTCAACAAAATGTAAGCATATGTGATTTAATTACTAAAACAATGGGTTGAACCCTTGTTTAGATCAAAACGTTTATGATCTAGTTGTGGACATAGAAAGTCAATTAAATTATTCTATGCCCCAAGTTTCCAATATACCAGTGAAGAGAAAATTCACTCCTAACTCCTGATTTCTAACTTAGCAGAAACTGCTAGGGGGGTTTTGTTGTTGTTTTAGGGGTCATGTGCTAGCCAGAGAGATACAGAGAAAGAAGTGAGAAATCACCTCCCTCCCCCGGGTAGATGGTCACACCACAATCGCTTCTCCTCCAGTCTCCTCTAAGGCTTTTGGGCATACACTCACATACATCTAGCATGATTTTTCAAGCAACTGGGTCTAAGACTTCCAACCCATGCAATCACCTATGTAGGAGCCAGCACCTCAGCCTCCAAGCTGCTGCTGCCTCAATTGCTAACATTATGACATCACCACTGTTGTACTACAAGTGCCATGCTTTAATATTAATAGGACAAAGTTTTCTATATAAAATTAATCTTCGGGACCAGCAGGTAGCAAAGTGGTTAAGTCGCTGGACTCCCACATGGCCGAACATGGTTCAAGTTCTGGACCTGGCGGCTTGAGTGCGTGCCCAAAATCCCGAAAGAGGAATGGGAGAGAAGGGATTACATGGTGGTCATCCCCTAGGGGAGTGATTTCTCACTTTCCCTCCCTGTCACTAACAAGTACACACATCCTATAGCAAAAGTATCCCTTAAAAAAGGAAAAGTAAACTAATCCATAGAGTCTTAATTTAAGGACACCTATCAAACATGTATCATTTAAAATGTCTAATTATTGGCGGCATAATTAAAAAACTAGTAAATTAAAACATTTAATTTTGGTAATCATCTCTAGGTATTTCTTACAGAAAATCCTTCAAGTAACCCAAACATGGGCCATGTCTTACCTTGTTTTCTGCATAAGCAAGCCAGCGACTCCCAAGAGCAATAGGATTCATGTTTGGCCCAGGACAAGGATAGCAGCCTGTAAAATTTCAAATTGAAATATTTGAGAAATTTCCTTATAATTTTTTTGTTGGTGCATTACATTGATGTCAAAGAACATCAAAAATCAAATGCTTGTGTTTCTCTTTAAGAGAGTATTTTGTTGTTGTTGTTGTTTTGGGTTTTTTGTTTGCTTGTTTTTTTTGCTATAGTGTGTGGGCACTCACCAGAGAGAGATAGAGAGACAGAAAGCAAGAAATCACCCTCCCTCAGGGGGGATGACCACACTGCAATGTCTCCTCCAGTCAGTCTCCTCCCAGGTACTTGCACACACACACACACACACACACACACACACACTACGGGCATGATTTTCAAGCCACCAGGTCTGGGACTTGAACCAGAGTCAGCCATGTGGGAATCCAGCGACATGACCACTAATGTGGGAATCCAGCAACATGACCACTACACCATCTGCTAGCCCAAAAATGCTTATGTTTTTTCCAAGTCTAATATTTTTTTAAAAGTCCCGTAATACTTCTTTTTGTTCAGTTGGTTTTGGGGGGTTTTTGTTTTGTTTTAGTTTTTTGTTTTGTTTTGCCATAGGGTGTGTCCACTCACTGGAGAGAGACATCCCCTAGAGGGGATGGCTATGCTGCAATTCCTTCTCCTCCATTCTCCTTTCAAGATTTTAGGCACCCACGTTCAAAGGCATGTTTTTCAAGTTGCCGGGTCTGGGAATCAATCTGCAATTGGCCATGTAGGAGTTTAGCACCTTAAAATTTTTTTTTCTGAACCACATTTTTTTTTTAAGATAGGTCTCACTATGCCTTCCTTCTGCAACTACAAGTGCACACCAAAGTATTCGTTTGCTTTTTAGTCAAGGTCTTGCTATGCTGTCCTGGCCCGTTATAGTCTCCCGCAGTTGGGGAATTGCAGGTGTACACCACAGCACCTAGTCTTAGGTCGGAATCAAACTCAGGCCTCCCAAGAAGTCCCAGTCTGAAGAGCACCGCATCTTAGTAAATGTCACTGTGGTTTGGCCCAGTTCACTTTTTGACTTTAAGTTTTTAGAAACTCTGTGAGCCTCAAGGATTATAGTGTATTGGAATGAAAGAAAATTGTTTTTCTACTTGCCAAAACAACATTTTGTAGCTGGAATCAGCAAAACATCAGCCACTCAGCACTAACCAAACCTTAAAACCAAGACTCTTAAAAAACAAGTGGGAAGGTGGGAGGTGGGGATGGAAGGGTGGAGGAGGACACGACACACGACCCCAAACTCCATAATACAAGGCCTAATTCTACCATGTTTACGATGTTGCTGAACAAAGTCAGGAGAACTGGATATTAAAAGAACTCGGGTTTCCCAATTTAAATAAAGGTGAAATTCAAGGAAAGCACACTAAACAAATTCTTTTGTTAGTAAACAAATAATGAAGAAGGCACATGAGAATGATGCAATTTTAGGTGGCTTTCTATCAGAAAGTTGGTCTTAATGATCAGGTGACCTGACTCTTTCGTGATGTTTTGTCCTATATTCTCCAGCAAGGACAAATCAAAGTTTCTGATGTTAAAAAATAAAAAGCAAAAACAAGTTATCTGTGTTTACAGTCAAATGATTTTCTACCAACCAACAATGAAAAAATAGTCTTTTGGGGGCCAACAAGTGGCATGGTAGTTAAGGCACTCCCATGTGGTCGACCATGGTTCGAGTCCCAGACATGGTAGCTTAAAATACTCCAAGCAATGTGCTTGTGTGCCCAAAATCTTAAGAGAAGAATGGAGAAGGAACTGTGGTGTGGCCATATTCCTTGGAGGGTAATTTTTTTCTTTCTATTTGTCTGGCTCTCTCTGTCTATCCAGCAAGCACATGTACCCTAAAGCAAAAATCTCTTACCTAAAAATTAAAAAAAAGTCTTTTCAATAAATAGTGCAGGGACAACAGGATATCTATATACAAAACAGTAATACCTCACATCACACACAAAAATTAACAAAAAAGATTGTGAAATTAAAAGTAAAAAACACCGGGCGCGTATGCGTGCATGCCCAAGATCCCAAGAGGAGAATGGAGGAGAAGGGATTGCGGCGTGACCATCCCCCCTGGGGGGTGATTTCTCGCTTTCTGTCTCTATGTCTCTCTCTGTCTGTCTGGCGAGCGCACGTGCCCTACAGTGAAAATCTCTCCAAAAATAAAAAAATTTAAAAAAAAATAAAAATAAAAAGTAAAAAACAAATCCATTGAGGGAACCAGCAGTTAGCGTAATGGCTATGTCGCTGGACTCCCACGTAGTCAACCGTGGTTCAAGTCCCGGACCCGGTGACTTAAAACTCACGCCGGGCACGTGTGCATGCGTGCATGCGTGCCCAAGATCCCAAGAGGAGAATGGAGGAGAAGGGATTGCAGAGTGACCATCCCCCCTGGGGGGTGATTTCTCCCTTTCTGTCTCTCGGTCTCTCTCTGTCTGTCTGGCGAGCGCACGTGCCCTATAGCGAAAACCTCTCCAAAAAAAAAAAAGAGTAAAAAAACCAAATCCATTGATAAAACAAAACGCCTTGGGACCAGCAGATGGTGCAGCGGTTACATCGCTGGACTCCCACATGGCCAACTGCAGTTCGAGTCCCAAACCCAGTGGCTTCCAACTCATGCTGGACACGTGTACGTGCATGCCCAACATCCCAGGAGGAGAAGAAACTGCCGTGTGTCCATCCTCTTTGGGGATGATTTCTTGCTCTCTGTCTGTTTCTCTGGTGAGCGCGTGCAACCCTATAGCAAAAATATCCTCACCACAAAAAAAAAAAAAAACTTCATAAACTTGGAGTGACACCAGACACCTAAAGTAAAAGGTACAAAAGAAAAAAAAAAAAAAAGACAAACTGGACTTCATTAAAACTAAAACTTGTGTGTTTCAAAGGATACCATCAAGGAAGTCTTAAAGGGCCCAGCCACAGTGGCACTGCTGCATGATAGTGGAATCATAAGGGAAGACCAAGGTTTGGATCTTGGGTCGATCAAATATACTGAGAACACTCAGGAGCATGCCCATTACCCTGACTGTCTGGAAACCTCACAAAAGGATTGCAGCAAAGCAAAAAATTATGAGGGACTCGATCATTTTCTTTCAACGAAATATTAGGTCATAGGGAAAGTCATGACGTATTTTTCTAGGTTTTGCTGTCCAAAAATGCATCATGACTTTCCCAATGATCCAATATAATTCCGTGATGAGAATAAAGACTTTATAGATTCTGTAAAATGGATAAAAATTGATTAGCATCTAAAGACAGCAAAAGACACCATTCACAGAGGTCAGCCGGTAGAGTGTGGTTAAGACTCAACTCCCACATAGTTGACCGAAGCTCAAGTCCCCAACCTAGCTGCTTGAAATCACACTTGGCACATGTACATGTGTACCCAAAATCCCAACAGGAGAACAGAGGTGAAGGGATTGCAAAGCAATTGCATAGCGATCCTCCCCGGGGAGAGGGGGTGGTTTGCTTTCCCTCTATATGTCCCTCTGTCTCGCCCCAGCAAGCACATGTGCCCTATGGGAAAAACCTTAAAATTAAAAAAAAAAAAATGGGTATAGTATGATGGGTATAGTATGATGTCCAAAAAAGACTATGAATAACCTCCCCCAGAAAACATATAAGCATACAAAATATTAAATGCCACTTGTAGATTTTTTTAACCATCTTACAACTTATTAATGACTGTGAAGTTTCAATGGGCTTAGACCTTTAAAAAAATCCATTTTATTTTTCTCTATTTCTCATGTTTATGAAACATATCGTGCATTTCAGAGTACAGCTTTTCTAATAGTCAATGGGGAGGAATTACATACAGGAATAGGAAAGTCCCAAATTAGTTCACTCGACACGTGTTTACTGAATGTCTGCTAATGTACTAGGACCCTGAAACTGCATTGCTGGACTGACTAAATAGTAATAGAAACAAGTATTATCTGTTTTTTTCTTTTTACATTTTTGGCAGAGGGCAAATGTACTCTCACCAGAAAGAGACAGAGAGAGAGAAAAAAAGAACTCTCCCAGAGAGAATGGTCATATCATAATCTCTTCACCATTTCTTCCTCCTTTTGAGATTTTGGGCTTCCACACACGGGCACCTAGTGTATTTTTTCAAGCTGCTGGGTCTGGGACTTGAACCACATAGTTAGCTACATAGGATCTGGCTACCCTAACCACCATGCATGGGCTGGTCCGAAACAAGTATTATTAAAGTATTCTTAATGTGTTCTTTCCATTGTTCATGATACAAAGAAGACATCTGGGGTGTTCAACAGTGTTTCTGTTATTGTAGGCATGTACTTAACTTCGTAAGTGCCATACAGCTAGCCATGCAAATACCATGTCCATTTTATGCAAGACCCAGAACAGATATGGATTTTACTTTTAGCTTAAACTGGACTTAGATCTCACGTTAACCTCTCAATCCCTTCTCATAATATTACAAATTTGCTTATTAACATTAAAACCAAAGCTCCTCTTTCCAAAATTAAAAATAATTTTTAAATTCATTTCCATTTGTTCCATTTATTATTCATTATTGACGGGAATAAAGACCACACATATCAACCGTGAGAAATCACATTAAGGTCATAGGAATAATTTATCCTCAAAGTAAAAACAGAGGCAGTATAAAGAGACTGCTTACCATACACTCCTTTGGTCTCTCTAGAGATTTCATATCTACCTTTCAACTTGAGGACACTGAAAATGACTGTTAATGACATCTATCAGTCTTTGTCTTTTGTTTGCCTAATCATACCTGGGTTTTAGGTTTCCACATCACACAGCTGCTCAAGGCCACCTTTCTGTACATCCACATAGAAAGGTGTCTCCTTTCTCATCATATTGGATGTGTTCCATTAACAGTTCTCTATCAGCTCTCTTTACCTGCTCCCTCCACCCTTTGGCACAAATTCCTTTGATCCTTGCTCTGATGGGCACAGCTGCCTCTACTTATTTTACAGTCTCTTCATTGTATTCATGCATAACTAAGGCACTCAACTAAGA